CTTTATATCTTTCTGCTGCACTCTCTTTGTGAAGCTCTTTTTCAAATGTACTTATCTCTGATCTTTTTTTTTTTTCTTCATTTTTCTTCCCCTTGGCTTGATGAATACTTACACAACTTCTTTGAACTGTTCAGAGAAGTTTATTCTCCACGTATTTAATTAATGTTAGAAGAAATTGTAATAAAATAAAACCTATAATTAAATCAACTCTTACATCCTCAACAATTTAGTTTCAGACCAAAATATTCAACGGAAACTGCAAATTGTTTTTTCATTGAGAATGTAAAGCATTCACTTGAAGGTGGTTATGTTGTTGGAGCTGTGTTTCTTGACTAAAAGAAGGCATTTGACACTGTCAACCATGACATTCTCCTGACCAAGTTACCATCTTTCAATTTCTCGAAAAAATCAATTGACTGGTTTGAGTCTTACCTTCAGAATAGAGAGCAGTGTGTGAAAGTTGACCAAGAAAAATCCTCTCCTTTAATCAATACAATGGGTATTCCCCAAGGGTCAATTCTTGGCCCTTTGCTCTTTAGTCTGTTTATAAATGATTTGCCTAAATCCTGTCCAGTAGCTGGCTTCCAGCTTTATGCAGATGATGCAGTTATATATGCTCCTGGTAAGTCACCAAGCAAGGCAGCTGAGATCCAAACTGAGTACCTTTGCAATGTCTATCAGTGGCTGGAATGCAACCATCTTGTTTTGAATCAGAGTAAAACAGTTTCAATGTGTTTCTCCATTAGGAAAAAGTGCTCACCTGGAAGTTTTAATGTTAAGATACAGAATAGAGAAATAGAGGAAGTTTTAGATACACAACTCAAGTTTGATAAACACATAAATAAAATGACAAAAACAATCAAGAACAACCTGAACTGCTTTAAATTAATAAGACACTACATACCAACTCAAGCAGCACAGGTGTTCATGCATTCAATGACTTCCTCTCATTTCTCATACTGTATGACAGTTTGGTCACAAGCTTCACCCTCTACAATCAGAAACCTCTCATCACTATACAACCAGGCCCTGAAAATAATGGACAAAAAACCTGTCCGGTGGCCTCACTGTCACATACTGAAAAAACACAATCTACTCAGTTTTGAGAGCTTTATGCACTTATGTTTCCTCAAACTTGTCTTTAAATGTATCAACAATCTGGCCCCTGAACCTCTTTCCAGATATGTTCGAAAACAGGACGGAAACAGGGTAACGAGAAGCACTGTGAATGGAGACTGTAGCGTACAACATCGTAGATCTATGTTTGGTCATTCAGCCTTCTCCATCAAAGGCTGCAAACTCTGGAACACCTTATCACCTGAAATAAAATTAATGTCCGACAAATCAGGTGAAATGCTCAAAGCAAGCCAGAGCTGTACCCATTTTTAATGAATACCTTCAAACTTTATTCTAAACTGGTTTATAACATTTGTATTTCTGTACATGTATTTTAATGTATCCTCATATCGTGCTATGGGGTTTTATGTGACTGAATGTTATACATTTTAATCTGTTTGTTTACAAAAAGGCCCAACTGGGGACACGAGTTGGAAATTAGCAATAGCTATATACTTTTTATGCAGCACATCAGTTTCATGCTTTTTATTGAAATTATGTTAAATTGTATTGTCCCTATCAAATAAATTCATTCATTCATTTCTCTAAGGTGTAAAAAAGAAAAAAAAATGTTCACAATGGTCTGAACTTATTTAATAGAGACACAAACTGCGTGGAGTGTGTGTGTGTGTGTGTGTGTGTGTGTGTGTGTGTGTGTGTGTGTGTGTGTGTGTGTGTGTGTTGTCTTAGTAATTCCTTATTGGGGGGCTTTTTATGCCTTTATTTTAGAGATAGGATGGTGGATAGAGTTAAAAATCAGGGAGAGAGAGAGAGAGGGGAATGACATGCAACAAAGGATTCAAACCCCAGGCTGCCAGCTTTAAGGACTGAAGCCTCTGTACATAGGGTGCACAATCTAACCACTAGGTCACTGACGCCCCTTTCTAATTCTCAAAGGCCACATATTCCGTGCATGACGCTGGCCTTCAGTGCCATGGTTTTGCTCCGTCGGACGGCGCTCACCTTGCCCCACTGGATCCGTTTCTGGAACATGAGTGCAGCCATGATCAGCTGAACACACGTCACAGGAGAACTACAAGATCACGCGGGAATAAAGAGAAAAAGGTGCCAACAACATGTTGCTTTGACTTTCCGAGGATGATTTGTTCATTTGGTGCCTGTTTTGATGTAATTTTGATAAAGTGATGGGAATACGATTGTGAGTCCACTTCCGGGTCACTTCCGGCATTTGGTACATTCCATTTCCGTCAAGATTCTGCCGTTTATAAATTTGTCTCAGTACTTGTAAAAGTGTTTCACATTTTGTAAATGTGTTTTGTCCTTGGTAAAAGTGTTTTGGCTTTTGTAATTTTGCTTTAGAAAATGTAAAAATGTTTTTCAAAATGCAGATTTTCCTCAAGCTTTGCACTTTGTTATTTTGTTTTGCACTTCCAAGCCACCATATTAAAGGGCCATCCAAAAATTAAGAATAACATTGTCCTATTTCTGCAGTTTTGAAGAGAATCTCCTCGCTGAATCAGCTGCGACTTTGTGCTACTTGCACATCTGTTGGAGTGAGCTTCATTTGTACACTTGTAGTCGAAGGTCAGTGTCTGCATGAGTCACGTTGCTAATGTAGTCACAGCATTATATTTACCAGGCGGGCTGAAAACACAACTCCACATAAATGCTCCACTACATTTATATGGCGATGTTGAGTTTAATAATATACCAACCAAGTGTCCCAATGAGACCCCGTGTCAGGCCAAGAAACTTTTCTTTACCTTTGTAACTTATCTTTTCTTTATAAGACGAAGCATTTTTTTTTTTTATAGTGCATCACTCTGCTTTTCTGTCAATTAAAGAAAACATAAGACGAGTAATAAACCCAGAAAAAAAAACAGTTTTATAAAGACAAACTCACAGGCTTCTCAGCTGAGTCTGTCATCATTGTTACAACTCTGACAAACTAAATGTACAGAAATATGATCCTGACCGTCATCAATGAGCTGGAACTGTAAAACTTAATGGTGGTCGCCATTAAAAAAAATATATTTCCTTTAGACTCTCCATTACTGTGCTGTAAAAAAAAAAAAATACATTTTATATCCACACACACATTTCCAGCTCAGCAGCCTCAGGGCCGTGGTGCAGAGAGAATTTTGGTATGCACATTCTTCAGGGGAGTGTGTGTGTGTGTGTGTGTGTGTGTGTGTGTGTGTGTGTGTGTGTGTGTGTGTGTGTGTGTGTGTGTGTGTCATGTGTCAGTGTCGGCCTGTCTGTAAGAGATAATGAGGCAGTGTGTGCATCGCTCGGATAACCCCTGGACTCCACCATCAACTGGCAGCTAAAGTGGAAAACTCTAAGCACATTTTTTGAACTGTGTCACATAGCTGGGCTCTGTTTGGACTTTTCCCCTCCTCAACAACGTCCTCCTCACCCCAAAATGGGTTTCCAGCTCGTTCCCTCAATCCTCAACAATGACAGGACTGTAGTCCCTGCAGGAATTGTTGCTACCCAGCAGCCGTGCGTCTCTTTATTGGCGGCTGTCAGGATGTGGCTCAGACAACGATGTGATTTAAAAAATGGGGCGACAAATTGCTTTAAACAATAGACGACTAACAGGCTGTGAAAACATTGGAAATAAGAACACTTAGCTGCTCTCTTTCTCCAGCTCACAACTATAAAGAGACATGTTTTGATCAGTTGATTATTGGCAGTCAAGATAAAAAGACAAATTCCTTCAGAGATGCAAAAAAAAATAAAAACAAAAACAGTAAGTCAGGGTTTTTTTTTTGGGTTACACATCTGGAAGTATATTTTTTATGCATTAGTTAAAGCAACATTTAGTTTCACATTTAGATCACACTAGGGAGAAATAGTAGTGATTATTTGGGGGGCTTTTTAATGCCTTTTTATTAAGAGACAGGACAGTGGATAGAGTCAGATATCGTAGGGAGAGAGAGCGTAGGGATTGACATGCGGGATACGAGCCACAGGTCAGATTTGAAACCCGGGCCGCTTGTCTGGAGGACTATAACCTCTGTACATTTGCCGTCACTGAATTATTAGGTGCTGGACAGGTGGTTTGTTAGTTGTGGTTTGCTAGTTAGCTAACTAAGCGCTAACACTAAAGGCTAAGAACACCAGCAGAGTGTTAGTTTTTAAACGCCTAGCAAAGGAGCTTTGTAGTGCGGAGGGGGCTATAGGATCAGGACTCTGGTCCCTCTGAGGATGAATCAACCAGTTTAAGAAGGGACATGGTTGGTATCAGTCCCCACCTCCTGATCGCCTGAGGCTTTAGTGAGGGGTCAGTTTTGTACCTGTATTCATATCTTATAAGTAGCTATTGTTTATATTCTGATTTATATGTCTTGCTGTTTGACTACCTTATGTCATGTCAGAATTCGTTTATGCTGTTTCCTGTATAAAAGCCTTTCACTGGGAATAAACCAAATATTTCAGATCCTGAAACTATTAATCACACCCCTTTTCTTTTTTGTTTTAAGATTAATTTTTTGGCTTTACTAGAGAGACAGTGGAGGAGTTAGAAACTGAGAGAGAGAGAGAGAGAGAGAGAGAGAGAGAGAGGGTTGGGAATAGCGTGGAAAGTAGCCACAGGTCGGATTTGAACCCAGGCCGCCCACTTGGAGGACTATAGTCTCAGTACAATGGGGCAAGCACACTAACCACTAGGCTACCGGCACCCCTCATCAGAAAGAAGAAAGAAAATTTCCCAAAAACAGAAAGACGGGTGTGATTGGGTTCACAGCCTCAGGTTAGTCTCATCATTTAGCGTTCCAGTGCTGATCTATAACAAATTAAATACCTTGATGCATTCCTGAGTTGTACAGTTTACTATATTTTGTGGTCTCTTCTCACTTCTGGAACATTTGAGCTGTTTTTAATTAAAGGATCAAAACTTGCCCCGCTGTACTTCTTACCTTCTTCTTGGACTTGAAGACGTTGCAGCGGAACACGTTACTCTGTCCGTCTCTGGCGATGTAGCTGAAAATCTTCAGATCCTGGGAGTCGTGAGACACGTAGAATATCCTGAAACATAAAATTAAATAGGTCAACTAAACAATCTGAAGATGATGCAAACCAGAATCAGAGCCTGGCAGCGTTTCTAAATGTATCTTAAGACGCAAAACAGGCACTCAGCCCGTTTCTCTGGGGTTTCAATGTGACTAAAATAAGAACTATTTTAAGCTCGTTTTTGTCCAAAGGCACGGGGCTACATTTTAGCTCTCAAGCTAAAAAAGCGCCAAAGAAAGTTCAGATTTTGTTATTTATATCAAATTAACTGAAAGGCACAACTTCCTCAAAGATCTGTTTTTTTTTCTTTTGCTTTGACAGTTCAAAACAGAAAGTTCAGTGAGGCACATAAGAGACGCTGTAAACTCTAATTCAAAGTAAAAAAACATTCTCAAAGTAACAACATTCATCCGATCCAGTGTGAGGAGGAGACAGGGGGATGTTACTCTATTTCCACTGAAAATATCCTGTGTGAAAGAGGAAACAGTGGAAGCTTGACACAATAATAGAGTTCTCTCCAGGTACGCAGAGACTGTGTGCACCCAACAGCGAGGAAATATACAATATCCTGCAGAGCAGGAAATAGGAAGAAATAAGTTAGGGAGCAAAAATGAGAGCGAAGAGAAAGTATGCAATAACCTGCAGGAGGCAGAACATTTTATAGATCTAATTTATGATGACAAAAGAAAAGTGCTGGAAGGATAAACCACCGCAGATGAGATAAAGTCACAAAGACAGAAACCGAGAAGGTGGAAATCGTCAAGTTCAATGTCGAAACAAGTCTTTGTTCAAGGAGAAGTGGAACTTTCTTTAGAAAAGTAAAGACACATTTTGAACAAAAACAAATTGACAAGGCCTGTGGGTACCATGGCAATAAAATACCTGCAGAAGAAAAGGATTTCCATAAGAAAAAAAGAAGTAAGGATTCAAGACCAGAAGTTGAACTCTTTATTTGCAAGGTTGTCAAAAAGTTTGATTCTTTTATACTTTTCCACACTGCTTGTTTTAAAACGATACATTCTTTTCTTTTTATTGATGAAAAAGAACAAAAGATTTAAAGAACTACAAATCTTCAGACATATTGTTAAAGAAGCTGGAGCGAGGTAAAGCCATACAACACTGTCTTAACTGCACAAATGTGCTGGTGATGTTTCAGTGTTGAAACAAAAAAGAATCACTCTGAAGTTTACAAATCTGTTGCCCTGATGGTACCCTTCATTGCAGAATCTTAATCTTTGTCCAAATATGCCACCGAATGTTGTTGTTGTTACAATTAATGAAATTGGCTTTGATATTATTTTTAAAAAAATGCAGGATGGGAGAAGACTTTTGTCTAAAATTGGTTGCCAATGGCAGACTTCCATATAAAGTGTTTTTAGTGAACAGACTGAAAAGACCCCCCTCATTGGCAGGCCGAAGTGAATGGGCCCTCCACACATATAACCCTTCATCGTATCAATGTTCAGCATTCGATCAGTAGTGTTAGCGCTGAATATAATGTAGAATTTGTACAAAAGATGAAACGGAAGAGCTGCACAGCGCAAGGATGTGCAGGATACAGATTGTGCTCTAAAAGCTAGGAGTTCATTATTTTGGTTAACTTAAAATATCAATGGGTAAAAGAAAGCAGCAGATACCTGCAGGACAGGTTCTAAATTGGGCATTTAGTTCCATATTAAGGAGGCCTAGTTGTTTATCTGGGGTAATTTATCACAGTGAGAATTAAGTAGGTGATACCATCAAAGCGAGTCCTTCAGTCCTTCAGTGTGTTTCTGTGCATGTTAGTTGTTGTGAATGTGTGTATTTAGTTGTTTTGTGTGAGACACCGGGGGTGGGGTTGGGGGGGAGGGTCTCATTTGTACACTCTCAGTGACATTTCTGTGGTATTTGTTTTGGACCTTTTCACTGGGAGCCGGACTAGCGGAGGTCTTGCGGTTTGGATTGCGTATTTATGAACCCTGTTAGCAGACTGACACAGAGATCTGCAGTGAGTGACTCACACAACCTCACACTAAGAGAGGCCGAGAGTTCTGCTGCCAAAGTCAGAGGTCCAAAGAAGTCAACTTATCATTAAGGACCTATTGCATCAGGTTTCATTTCCCAGACCTCTGTGAGAATACTGAGCTTGAGTTGCTTGTTATATCCTCTGCACTGTCATCAGTGTACTGTGTACCTGCGCAATTATATTTATTTAATAAGGACATTGCAATTTAACATAGTTTCAATACAGAGCATGACACAGATGTGCTGCACAGAGATTTAAAGCTATTGCTAATTTCCAACTCTCATCCCTAGTTGGGCCTCGTTTTAGTTTAAGCAAGATGAAACACTTACAAACAACACTAAGTTTGAATGCTTATTGTGGTTAGCATGTATCTCAGTCTGCTTACAGCTGCTAACTAGAAGAGCTGAAGAGTGTCCAGTGTAGTTTCAGAAGTCATCCTCTGATCCTCGTCTTTGTAACCTGCTACTGAATGCTTTGAATTTCCCTCGGGATCAATAAAGTATCTATCTATCTATCTATCTATCTATCTATCTATCTATCTATCTACAAGGCCACACAATGAGGAAGAAGATGTAGTAAGGTCTGAAGCCGAGGCTCAATGAGGTCTCAGAGTATTTTCTCCGTGTTCATGTCAACAAACAAATAGGACTCGGAGGTTCTCTGTTATCACGCCGTGTCATCAACTGGAAGAAAACGAACCGCTCCCATCCGGCTGCACTTTGCACAAACCTTTTTAAATCTCCCCTTTCAACTCTTCATTTCCCCTCCACTCAACCCCCACCCCGAGTCAATGTGATAAAAATCAATGATCCCACATCTGAAGCAGGGGGGGGGAGAGGTCTTCTGTTCTACCAGTGTTGCCTTCAGGGGACTGAATCCTATTCAAAAACTGTAGTAGGCAATGATAAAAAGGAAACATTACATGCTGGCAGACAAGTGAAGCCGAGCCAAGAGCGAGTGAAAGTGAGCTTTAGCTGACAAATCCCCAAGCAGTGCAGAGATGACAGCTCAGATACATCTCTATCAACGTCTCTAACAGGAACAGCTGCCAAACAAGCAGGTGAAGATGCGTCAGATAGATCACAATCCGAGAATGAGAGAAGCAGGTTTGACATTGAAACTGTCAAAGACGGTTTTGAGGCAAATAAATCAGACTGCGAATACCGCCAAAGGAAGAACTTCTTTTTGAATTTCAAGTGGGTTGCATTCTTGTTTAAAGTCAGAAAAAAAATCCACATTTCAAGATAAATGAAATGCACTTTTCTACCCGGTGTCACTGACTGACTCCAAACCATTTCTGAAAATGAAAACAACACGTTCATCTCAATTCAAATCCCCACAAAACCAGCCGACAATCTTTGGCAGGAAGTCAGAATCTGCTTCCTTTTTTTTTTTGAGTGGATGGATCATTGAAAGTGCGAGGAGGAGGCAAATATGAGGCATAACTTTCCTGCCAAATAAACATATTTGCACACTCTGTCGCCTGGCTGATCAATGTTAATCAATTTTAATTTAAGATAAGCTTAATATGAAGAGACACTTGGAGGGCAAATCAAAAGGTGTAGATGAGAATTCAACATGAATTCACCATGATGCCTATCTGAAACATCAACAGTGAATCGTTTTACATCAGTGCATTTAAATACAGATTGTGGCTCTCTGATTATCGATTTGAAACAATGATACAGGGAGGAAGCCATGAGGGAAACATGGCAGAGCAGATGATTGATGCTAAGGACAGATGATTCCAGTATTTTTAGACTCAGGGATGAATTTACGAAGACAGGATAGCGCCATGAATTCTGCATCACATGGAACCAATGTCTTCCGTGCCCAAGGTCGTACTCACAAAAGATATCACGCACAGGAATTTAGAGCACAAACACGGCCATAACATTTTGCAGCTCAGGGCAAATTCCCCCGTGCACAACATGGACTGATGCTGCCAAGCCCGGCTGCAATCTCTTCTGGAAAGTGTGGGCATGAAACTTCTTACAAATGCTCAACACTTAAAACCAACTCCCTGAAGAGGTTTAAGACTTTCTCTCTGATTGCATCTGGCTTTAGCAGCGACGTTATTTGGACTTTTTGTGCATTTAGCATGGAAATGGGCCATTTTTGCATCAGATCTTTGCATATTACCTCATTTAAATGTGTTTCTAATAGCACCTGAGTGGTTAGATGCTATTTATTTGGCAGCATAGTTATGGGAGCATTCCACCCTTAGCTGGTGCTTTGACAAATTACATGGTTTCTTCTTGTCTTATTAGTACAGATGTAGCAGCTGAAAAAGGGACACAATCTTGTAAGAAATTCCCCCGGAAAGGATTTATATTTGACTAGGATTAGGCCATAAAAAAATAAAAGAAGGGCTAGCATTCCTTCGTCAAATTGTTTTCTTGCTGTGTGAAGAAAGCCATCGAATTTTTGAATAAATAATCAGGATATTGAAGTCAGAAAATTGGGTTTGTTTCGTATACTGTTAAAAGTTAGGAGAATTATAATTATACAGATTAAGTCTCGACCGAAATGGGATTTTTGGGGCCAATACAGAAATTGATATCGGGAGAAAGTTCTGATACAGATATATCAGCCGATTATCTATGTTCGATCTTTAGAGATAAATATAGTGCATGGATCCCTCAAACACAGTTATCAAACTCTTGTGGAAAAGATATACATTACAGCATAAGGTAGACAATATGGTCATTCAACTGAAGAGTAACTCTGCATGTACATGCATCACTGCTTGACACTCTGCTGAGAGTGATAATGTAATCCATATAGCGCACTCTGCTGGTGACAGCCAGAAAGAGAAATGCTAGTGTAACTCAACGATACTCAAATAAAAGCTATTCGACCGTTAAATAAATGTAGTAATATCGGCGTATATCTGCGATAAAGTTAGCTGATACCGATCACTGGATATGCTAATATCGGCTGATATTATCAACTGGCGAATTAATTGGTCAGGCTCAAATACAGATATCAAATGATTCAAATGTGTTCA